TTTTAATGCACACAGACTTCGTAAAATTTTCAGAGACTACCTAATACCCAGAAAAAATATCACTACACCTCTGAATATAAATTAAAAATATATTGACCTGTAAGGAGTCATTTATTGAGTCACTCCAGAGATCTCTGTTCGGCTTTCTTTCTGTTCTGCTGAAAGTTCTTTGTTTTCTTCCATGAGCATGTTTAAGTGTAGTTCCTTGAAGAGTATAACCTTGTGCAGACAACTGGTGATTGCTAGAATAGATTTTAAAAAATAAAATAACTATAGTATTCAAAATTTTGTCAAAAGTCACTAGATATTCTGAAAATTCTAAAAATTCAGCAAATTCCTAACCGTCACTGTGTACAGGGCTTGAAAAGTCTCAAAATCTTTACACGTCCAGTCAGACACGCAAACAAAATCCATCTTTTTCACTGTCATGGTCACTTTTTATGTTAACTATCATTGAGATTGTGAATACCAATGATGCAAAGTGACTATACATGGATCAGTGTGGTTTCAATAAAGTGCAATCTCTACAAGTTGGCTATGTTTAACAGTGGGGACTAATCACCATGGAAATGATCAGCAACGCTGAATACAACAGCAAATGTGACAGTCATGTGGAATTTAGTCATGGCAAACAAGGACCTTTGGCTAAGCCTTATACGCCAAGATAAATCAAAATTCTGTGGGCATTCTATCTTTAAGGCTGTTTTTTGAAAGGCTCCGTCGTAGTTGGAAATGATGTTTTTTTATGAATAATATGTTAGTTTTATAACTGTTATGAGTTTGCAACTGTTACTCATGACTGTAAGATCAAGTTTAGCCTATCTAAATCCAGCGCATTCTATGTTTATTTTAAAAATGGTCCACAACATCAATATATATCAAAAGCAACAGTTTTGAAGAAATGAAAAATTTTTTTGTCTAATTTTTTAATATTTAAAAACTTACTCCAATGCTGCAGTACCAGGGCTCATAAAAATTTGCAAAAACTGGGAATATGGCAGTGATTTTGATAACTTTCATCTAGGTGGAAAAAGGTCGCCAAATTGACGATTTTTAAAAAAGTTTAACAACTCTTAAAATATTTCAGTTATTGGTCTGTTCTAAAGCCCAGAAAATTCTTCATGGCAAGATTAAAATTATCGTATTGCTTCAAGTGTTCGCTTAAACTATGGCTTTTTTGTTTACCTTGGCGACAGAGTTTGAAAAACAACGTAAACAGAATTAAATGCAATAGGTTTGCAGGTTAAGAATCAACATTCCCACAAAATGGCACCCCAAATCCTTCAAGACATCTCATCCAAATGGCAAAAGTGTATTGATGTAGGAAGGTAGCATACATTTCTTTTTTAATAAATTTACTCTGTCCTGAAATAGCACTTGTGCTATTTAAAGCAGTAGGACTTAAGTAAAGAAAAAAAAAAAGAAGCAAGAAACTGTACCACTATAAAGTCAAAGTAAAAAATTAATCGAGGAAGAGAGACCAAAAACATACCCAGACGTTCTTTCTTTTCGTTTGAAAAACTCTATTTGATCCATGGTCCACATACCCCCTTTAGCATCAACAGCAACCCGCATAAAATATGGTTGAAGACTTAAGTTATGGCGAACTGCATTCTAAATAAAAAAAATAATACTGTTTTGAAAGAAGCAAATACTGAGTCTATTACAAGATATAAGTAATTATTTTAATAAAATTTAGACTTATTTATAAGATTATAAGTACAATTAAACACAAACAGAAAATGCACACAAACTATACTTTTAATTATCAACAATAGTTGCATTTTTATCAGAATACACAGTTCATTTGAATTCACAAAATAATAACTTTCACCTAGGAAATTATAATTATTGAAAAAAGTTAATCAAGGGTGCATT